TGCCTTGCATACGTCCAGTCAAGTACGTTGCTCGTTCTGCATACGTTGGAGTCATTGCTAACAGCCCCGACAGCTAGTAGTGCATACAATCTTCGAGCTCGCCACACGTCCCGAGTATGCTGACCCTCTACGAGAGGAGATAAAGCAATGCTTTGAACTGCACGGCGAGGGCACCAAGAAAGCTTTAGACTCCATGTACAAGGTGGATAGCTTCATCAAGGAGACGCAGCGAATGAACCCGCTCGACGCATGTACGTGTTGCCTCCTCGCCCATCTACGCTAGAGGTCTGGTATAATTTCTAACATTTGTATTAGCCGCATTGGCGAGATTGGCTCTCAGGGACTACACCTTTTCCAATGGCCTGCACATTCCCAAGGGGAGCGCAATTTTCACCCCCAACGCCCCTCTATTCCAGGACGAGAGATTCTATCCGGATCCCCAGCGTTTCGACGGCTTCCGATTTTCCAAAATGAGGAATGACCCAAAGCTCGTGTCTTCGTGTGACCTCACTTCAACCAACGAACGCAGCATGCATTTTGGAATTGGGCGCCATGCTTGCCCTGGCCGGTTCATGGTTTCTGACGAGGTGAAGCTTGCCATGGTGCATCTCTTGCAAAATTTCGACTTTTGTGTCGAGAACTTTGGGCCAAGGCCGAAAAACATGCCTTTTGGCAAGTTTATTCTGCCCGACATGAGCGCCAAGGTGTGGTTGAGGCCGTCTACCCGTGGCAAGGAGTGAGGTTGGGATATTCATGTTTTGGACTGTCACCTCGTATAGCCTTGTGAAGTTGAAAAATAGTATAATGAGTTGTTAGTATTAAAATTGACTGCTATTATTTCATGTTGAAAATGGAAATATTGACCGTTGGGCGTGCCAATGTGCGAGTGATGCCGCTTTCTCGTGCTTCAAAATCTATACAAATATTTCGGTAGCTAGTTTAAGGGGCTATTTGTGAAGCTCAAATATGAAGCACGGTCTGCTTCTCTATTGGGCTGTATTCTAAACGCCATCTGTAGGCCGCGCCAAGTCAATCCCCGATGGACTTTTCGAAATAAAGTATATCGACTCGTGAGCGTGCACAACTGATACTGAGTGAGACTTGCCCTTGTTTGCATAGGTTTATTTTCCAAATACTTTTTATGCATGTCTGGTCCGTACAGCAGCGAGAGATGTAACGGCAAAGTCTTCTCAAAGCGACGTGTGGGATAGAATGCTATCCTTGGCTATCTGTCACTTTCTTTCGCTCTTGTATAACTCCACAGTGGAATGTTGACGTCTTTGTTGGTGAAGGCATTATTAAAGGACTTGTTCTATCTTTCACGACAAGATGAAGCAAGTCACCTAAACATTTGATATACATCAAGTTCTGAATATTGCATAGCATACCCTATATTGTAAGAAGAGCTAAAGCCCTTATACGTCACACCTTGAGTTTAACTAGTTGCTAGCTAAAAGTTAGAAGACACAATTCAGATAATTCTACCTACTACGGTGTTTATAAGCTAACACATAGAGGTCTTCTAAGAGTGGAGTAGGACAAATGAGTTAGATAGGACGCTAATAGGATGCACGGCAACTTGGGGACGCGTGGCGGCCGATAGGCCCGGTGCGATATTTCAATATAAAAATTGGAAGGTTTATAGACTAAGAATACAAAAACTATCAACTTATCTACTCAAACTAGCCACAAGAGCATACAAGTATATAATTTAACTAGTAGATACATATTACGATACAGGCTAATATAGTTTTCTTATAGATGCAAACTGAAACCATATCGGAATAGTATACTTGAACTGACCAATTCAAAATAGAACTCTAAAGCTAGAACCAAAGTCCGCTCTGTCTGGTATCTTCAGCGTTGGTCACATGCTATGTCCCAGCTATCCCGACCGCTGCCTACCATGGCAGTGTGTAGAGTACAGAAGGTATAAGAAGGCAATAATCCTCCAGAATAAGGTCAACTAGCAGACAGTACTTTATTTTAGCTGCTAGTTCCTTCGTTGCGTTCATGGTATCAATTACCTGGTCTGTTGCGGTTCTCTGGCTTGGGCACGGCCAGGCATATTATGCTACTATTACTGGGCCCTACCCGATATAGCGCTTATATAATTATTTAGATAGAAATAAGAAGAGAAAATTAGAACTTGATAAATATTCGTATAAAGCGTCCTAGCGTAGTAAGAGAGTAATAGGCCTAAAAGACGAAAAGCTACTACTAGACTAGGCAATAGCTAAAGTTGCTTTATGTGTTAGATGAGCTGCTACTAATTATAAGGCTATCAAAACTATACTACAGTCTACTGAAATACCGCTCTAATAGTCGCAAGATAGCGGAGCAGAGATATATCGTCCTCAAGTCTTTGCAAGCTAATATATTTCTTCATAAATTCCCGTGCTGCTCGGGACAGATTTATGCGTGACTCCCCTTTTATTTACTCATCTCACGTAGCTCGTTACAATACTTACAATCTGAAAAAGGGTTCCGTCCTCTACAAAATGCAGTTATGCTTGACTAGCCTATAATTGAAAGGTCTATATAATGCCATCCAATGTGGCCTGCTAGCTGTTGCAGGAAATTAGCTGGCGCCTTGCACGTACAGGCTGGTAGAAGAATTGCCAGAGGAAGCTAATAGAACAAAGAGGTATCAAGTACTACGTAATAAGAGCGCGTTCTGTTTATAGTGCAGTTGAACAATGGCAAAAACGACGTATATCTTGGCTCTCTCACTTTGGCCTCTAACAGTCGTACTATCATCTCACCCATGTAAAAGAAAACAGATTGCAATTATGATATATTATGCAGTTCACGTCAGCGATTCTGTACAGCCTAGCTATAGCCCAGGTTGTTCAAGAGTCAATATGACTGCTCGCACGTAAAGAAATTCGTCACATACGCTCAGATGCTCGGTACCGGGGGGGGGACTAGAAGAGGCTGGGACCACGAAGTGAGGCACCTGTGGCGCATTTATCACTTGAAAGGATGGAAAATATAATCAATAGTAGTGGAAAGAAAGGCAGTGCGATGCCGTACATTTATGTAATTGAATGCGTAGTCTTTGCGGAACTGTCAGAGCCCAAATGGCATCCATGGGCGGGATGTTCAATGTTGGGAAACTGCGGCCATGGACTGCATTTGCTGCCCGTCATGTCTGCTCCAGTACCTCGAGAGTACTTGTAGGTACTCGAGTACATATGTAAATACAAGGATGGGTGAGCAGCGCGTGCAGTGTGACCCTGGGGCATTGTCATGCTCCCAACACACCATCAATGGTCGAATGCGACTTGACACGGATGGACCAACGTGCGCCCACAGCCTCGCTTCGTACAATCAACAGACTCGGTGCGACCAACACGGCAATTAAAGCCTTCATATCATATTCCCCACTCACATACATACGAGCACAACTACCCATTCGTGCAATCTTGGTGAATACCAGACATCACACAGCACCGGGGAGCATGGGGGGAACACCGCAGGTGCCCGTACATGAGGTGTCACCTCTGCCTCATTTCATACCCATGGCACCGTATTCAATAAAATCCCAAGAGCCCGCTTCGTAGCCCTTTCCCCATCTTCTCCGTACATTCATCACCACCTTGCTCCGCCTTCTCAGTCATCCAGTCTCCGTGGCAGCACCGTGAACAGCCTCGACACAACTCTCAGGCACCTTAGTCGCCAGCACAAATGGCGAGCAAAGGAACCATCATCGTCACCGGCGCCAACGGCGGTCTGGGAAGTGCCATAGCAGAGCACATTGCCTCCAGGCCCGAGTTGCTAGGCCATCACGGGATATACATCGTGCGAGACGCGTCCGCAGCGCCGGCGCTCGCCGCGGCCCTTTCGCGAGGCTCACCGTCACACAAGCAAGAGGTGGCCTCTCTGGACTTGACCAACCTCGCCAACGTTCGCCAAGTCGCACAGCACATCAATGTGAGTCCCCATCCGAATGCTTCCCAACGCCCTCACGTCTTGCTGCTGTCTAACGCCGCGGGCTGTTCCATAGAGCCGCGTGTCTGCCGGCCAGATCCCGCCCATCCGCGCCCTCATCCTCAACGCTGGCGTGCTCGACTTTGGCAAGCAGACGTGGACGAGTGACGGGTTCGACGTCACCTTTGCGTCCAACTACCTCGGACACTGGCTGCTCACGCTCCTGCTTCTCCAGAGCATGGACAAGGAAGCCGGCACTATTGTTGTTATTGGAAGCCAGATGCACGAGTAAGCGTTCAACCCCCTCCGAACAAGAGAAACAAAAAAACATCCTTGATATCTACCAGAGCTAACCGAGGGTCCCACGCTGCAGCCCTAATGATAAGCGCAACGACCGCAGCAAGGCGTTTGAAGGCAAGTACAAGCAGATCATGGGCCGCGACGAGGCCAGCGTCGAGGCCGTGGCAAAGGGCACATGGGGTTCGGCCAAGGAAGACCCTTCGTTCCGCAGCGGGCTCCGGCGCTACGGCGCGTCCAAGCTGTGCCTGCTCATGATGATGTTTGAGCTGCAGCGGCGCGCCGACGCCGACGCCCGCCTCGGGAACCTGCGCGTCGTCGGCGTCGACCCGGGCACCATGGCGACGAGCATCACGCGCCTCGCGCCGTGGGCCATGCGCGTGATCCTCTTTGGCGCCGTGCTACCCGCCGTCGCGCTGCTGTTCCCCCGCGGGCCCATACGGACGCCGCAGCGCTCCGGGGCCGATGTCCTGCACGCCGCGGGCCTCTTGGGCGGAGCGGACGCCGACGCCCGGCCCGACACGAAGGCCGTCTACTTTAACGGCAGGGAGCCGAAGGAGCCGAACCCCGAACGGCAGGGAGCCGATGGAGCCGAACCCCGAGGCGAGGGACGCCCAGAAGCGCGCGTTGGTCTGGGCGGAGTCGGTAAAGTATACCCGGCTGGTGGAGGGCGAGACCATTCTCGGCGATTGGCAATGATAGACACTTGACGGCATGTATGTATCTGTAGTATTGACGGAACCGTGGCTACCTTGCGCGTCTAATCTCCGTCACTGTGGAATCTTGAACCCCCCCGGGACTTGATGGGTGAAGAGCCCGTGGGGATCAACCCTTGCCCTGACGTGCTGCAGATGTGCCACGCTCGCCTGCCCGTAGCTCGCAATCACTTCCTGCCCCGGCGCCGCGTAGTTCATGTAGATGTACGGGTCGTGTGCCCCGAGGTCCCTTGCTCTACGGTCAATCTCGTCCATGAGCGCGCGCGCCGCCGCGTATACCTTGTCGTCGTCGCCGGCACGAGACCACGCAGGCGACAAGAGACACACGGCGAGCGGGCCGGACCGGTCTGCGAGCCCCAGGGCGTTGTCTTGGGCGCCGCGCGCGTACAGCTGCGGCGGCAGCGCCTCCAGGTTGACGTCCCACCTGATGCCTGCGATGTCCTGTACCGACGGCAAGCTGGCGTTGTAGGCGTCGAACGTGGCGCGGATCATGGCCTCTGTAGGCACAAAGGTCACCGTTGTCGAGAGGTAGCTGTATCGTTACTGCCCTTTAGCCGATTCGGTACTCAAAATGACAGATGAAGAGTTGCATACCGGGCCGCTTGTGGCGGCTGCAGTGAGACCCCTTGCCTGGCGAGTGTCGACATGTTGGCCACGGTAGCGCCGGCGGAAGGGTACGGGATTGTCGGCAGGTCGAGGACCGGTTGGTAAAAGGCGGGAACCTCGTCGCCACTGGGCTTGGTGTAGATGAGCTGGTTCAGGGCAACGCTCAATTTGTGCGTACTGTTGAATGACCAGCCAAAGAAGAACGACGCATTCTCGTCATACTTGGCCGGATCCATGAGCTCGGCATACACGCGGGCTTGCTGGTCCACGGCCGAGAGCGGGTTCAGCGTAAGACTCGACCACAGCAGGCCCTGTTCAAACGTCTTGATATCGAGGCTGGTGATGATGCCAAAGTTGTTGCACCCGCCGCGGAGCTCCAGCCACAGGTCCGAGTTTTGCTGCTCGCTGGCCTCGACGACGGAGCCGTCGGCGAGAACAACCACGAAATGACCTGATTGCAGGTCCAGCCCTCCCGCGGGCCAAAGTAGGAGATACCGCCGCCGCCCGAGAGCCCTGCCACGCCGACGCCGGCAACACGGCCGCCCGCGGCGCTGAGGCCCAGCGCATCCAGCGTCTCGTAGACGGCGTCGCATGTCGCGCCGGCGCCGACCGTCACCCTCGACTTGTCGCCGCTGACGACGACCGAGTCGAGGCCGCGCATGTCGACTGTGACTCCAGAGCAACTGGCCGCGCCTCGGAACCACTGGTGCCCGCCGCCCCGGACGGCAAACTCGCCTCCGGTGGCTCTCATGGTCTCGACCACGCAGGATACATCGCGGGCCGACCTGGGCGTGACGAAGCACTGGGGATGGAGGCCCGAGACTTGCGGGCTGAAATACGACGTAAGCGCTGCGGCGTATGCGTCGCTTCCCGGAAACAGGACCTTGTCGGAACCGAGGGCGGCCTGCAAGGCTGTACAGGTCTTGTCCACTGCGAAAAAAAAAAACGGTCAGCTCAAAAGCCAAGTGAGAGAGAGACAGAAGCAAAAGAAAAATAAAAGGCGTCAAGTAAACGCTGTGAAAGGGCGCAGAGGACTGGGGGACTAATGCAGGAAGAACCTTACACACACATGACAGAGACTCAACTTGTCCATCATCTTGTTGGGCCAGGAAACTGCGCCGCCTGTACTCAATGTGACCCTACGTTATGTAGGTGACGGATTATGAACAGACATGAGCGCTCGAGGTGCACCCAGCTGCAGCTTGTGTTGGTTCCGAGCTCTCGTGTAGACTGGCGCCTGCATATCCGGGCGTCGCAATGGACCGTGATGGGCTCAACGGGGGCATTCATGTTTTTATCCGTCCAGAATCATGTCCTGTTACCATGTAATTTTGTCACTCGGCCTTTCGGCCTTCTCTTTCCGCCTTTAACTGTCTCGCGCTCGCCGTCTTCCACTCCATGAAGCGCACGTGGCGGCGGGCGTGTCGGCATTGTGCCTTCAATTAGTTGATCCTTCGTCCTCAAACTGCACTGTACTCAGTGGCTGTCTTTCTGCCGTCTGGTGTACAGAGTATTCGCCTGCCAATCTGGGATGGGGGTCTTTGCGCAGGGTCTCGTCTGGTGCCATACACACATGGCAAGGGTCAGCACTATATGTATGTACATGTGTTGCATGAGATTGCCGTGGTATGCCGACAGATACAGTGTCTCGATGGTGGGGGCGAAGAAAATATTGATAACAACATTCACCACAGTTGGTCTTGGCTATGCAACCGGAAAGGGAGAGCCTCGAGTCCCTTGACCCTTGTTTCCGGTGTACGACGGCTGACGGCATCAAGGCGCACCAGTTTTTTCCAAAGGCGTGGCTGCAGCTTCATACAAAACACACCGGACCTCTTCCGAGTGTACTGTGCAGTCTGGTGCAACTTGACACAACCTCGCAAACACTGCTTATTCTCTTGGCATGTCCAGGTACTTTGCCGGGCTCAAGCTCATGTTCATCGACCCGGACACCTTGCCGTGCAGGAACTGGCCAACAAACAGGGTAGAAAATTGTAGGAAGCCATATCCCGCCATGGGCAGACATATGCAGCAGATTCTATCATCAGCGGCTGTATACACAATGTATTACAAATTCACCGTTGTGGATGGTCGGTTCTACCTCCCGCTCACACCCATTGTTGAGCCGACCTGTCCTCACGCAGGTGGTTGGACTGGCGATGCCAATCCAACCCGTCATCAACTCGAGCCGTAGCTTTGAGCGACTGTGTGTCAGTCATTTCGTAATCAAGTATTTGTTTCGACTCGTCACTGCCGCCACCAAATTGGCCACGTTTCTGCTGCTGCTGCTGCTGCTCGTAAGACAAACTTAACTTGGACGACGTAGTCTTCCCCGTGCCCGTGCCGGCGCGACGGCTACCCAGCAGGCGAGAGCGCAGGGACCTGAAGAAGGTAGATGCACTGGCGCCAGGCGACAGAAACTGGGCACAGGCTGGCATGCAGCCCACAATGATGGCTATATCCGTCTCGGTCAGTCTAGGAGAAAGTCGTCAGACCAGAGCGCGAGATGGCACGCCACATGTCTAGAAACATAAACATCAGACTCGCGAGCACAGACTTGCTTGGGCGCCGAGCCACGACAATTCGTCAGACGAGAGGAGCTGCGTCTTCGCGTAAAGCGACACAACGCTAGCCGCCACTCCGCTGCAAGGCAAAGGAGAGTTGGCCAATGCGTCAAGTTCTCAAATCAGAGGGCTTCGGGGATCAGACGTACAGAAGTGCAATAGAAAAGACGCACACCAGCTGGATTCGTCGCTTCAGTGGCAGGTGGAGGCCGAGGAGAATCGGCATGGGAAGAAAGAATATGTACAGGTCAATCACTGTTCCAACAGCGCTCTGCACGGCGCCAGCCAGGGAGAACCTCTGGCCCTAGGCCTGCAGCTTGACGAGGAGCGAGGACCATGGCTTGCTAGGATCGGGTGCCGCGTACACGGCGGCCAGTGGGATGTTGGACAGGTACACGAGCAAAGTCATGACACGGCCAAGGTTGATGGCTAGTTTGAGTCGTCTACCCGTCGCAAAGAGCTGTCGGTAGAGCAAGAAGATGGCCGCTTTTGAGAAGAAGACGACGGGCGAAAACAGCACCGTCTGGATGAAGGGGAGCTGGAGGAAGCGCCCGGTGTAAAAACACACCGGAACATCCCAGGCGTGGCGGAAGGAATCGTGCTCTGCCCAGATGAGGTTTTCCATCAGTACTGCTGAGGAGAGACGGTTCAAACAAAAAGCAACATGGCACAACGTCGTGTCTTGCACGCAATGATGACGCCAGTGTAGGCAATGTTGACCAGGCACGCCACCAATGTGATGTCTGTATGCCAGTAAGCTACTGCACGTTTCCTGGTCCAGAATTCTCCTAGGGCTACGGTCTCACAGTCGGCAGAGTGCAACTTGCTGCGATTGATAAACAGCCGCCCACCCGTGAAGGCGATTGAGATGGCCAGCAGCGTAGTGCCGACGGCGATGACGGTCGGTCCCAGACTGGGAGGATCAATGAAATTGTATTTGCCACCGGGGGGTTTCCCTGCCGGTATCTTGCAAGGATCCTTTGTCGAATCCATCTTGACATGCTCCTTCTCTAACCAAGGACCACAGACGAAGAGGTTAGACCAGGTTTGGCGTAATCCGGCTAGTTGTCTAGCAGATCAGCTTGGAGAAAAGCCTTGTTTCACTCCCATCCAATGTGAATGGAGGGGCTTTTGAAGCTTAACTATCACATGGATACGTTTATGGAGCTGTGGAAGAATCAATTTGGTGTTTTCCTCAGCATAGCCAATATTCTTCCGATGACCACACCATCGAGCACTGCAGAAAATGCTCTGCAAACCCCCTCGGAAAATATTCAGCCCCCAAGCACTCGTTTCCATGCACCAGGAGCTGTAAGACAGGGATTCGGCAGAAACATCGCCCTGGCAGGAACCATACTCAGTGAGGGCTGGAGGTAGGAGTACATATCTAGGAAATAATGGAAGGTGTCTGCAGAATCAGACACAGGTGGCGTCAATAAAAGCAAGACAAGCCTCTCAAGGCTGCAACCGACAGTATGAAGTGCATAGCACATAGAGGGAAACTCGCAAACTGGACTGAACAGGAATGCATGGCAGATACCACCCTATTACTCCGTACTTTGGCCAATTCGGCTCCCAAAGGCTGTTGTTTTGGGTGTGAACCAGGCTGTACTGGTTGCAAGCCAAGTTACACTGCTTCACGGTGAGTTTGGCCAAGCATAACTTGTAGCAGAATCCACACATTGTGCTTCATTTTATATGCTGCAGTGCTCCGGAGTCCCAACGCAGGACAGGGATGGCGGACATGATTGACGGCCTCATTCTGTAGCTCAAGTTGAAAGGCGGCAAATTCAAGGCCAAGGGGGCTTTACCCGGCGGCTCCCAGTCACGAACTGGCAGATACAATGTATGTGTCGCACCAGAGGGTCGAGAAAGCTAAATATGAAATTAATCTAGGCCCGGATTTCGGTTTGGATTCGGACACACTCCAACCTGACCCGCTCAGGATGGTTCATCCTGAGCAGCAGATTATAATTGGCGTCGTCTATACAGTTTCGGACTCGACGCCTGGCCTGTTCCTGCGTTTCGCCTGCTTCCACCTGCACAAGCAAGCGATGCTCCTGCAACAAACAAGCCAACACTGCCACGCCTTCAACCAGGGAAAATTTCTTGCCAACGCAGATCTGGGGGCCCTCCGACCAGGGCAAAAAGGTCCCTCTGCGAGGATTCAGTAGCCCCTCGTCTCCCTTGTCGTCATGCAAAATCCAGCGAGATGGTCGCCAGATATATGGGTCGTCCCAGTACCTGGCGTCCGTCTGTACACCGAGCAGCAACGGGAAGACCTCGGTCCCCGGGGGGATGACGAGAAGTTGATCCCCGAGCCGGAGACTCGGCGCCGTTTGGGACGCAATTTTAGGTATGCCGGTAACTGGGGGGAAGATGCGGAGCGTCTCAAGAAGCACAGCCTGGCAGCGTTTGAGCTTGGGGAACATGTCGTAGTCCCACTCATCATTCGGGTGTCCCCCGGAGAACATCTTGATTTCCTGGTAGATCCATTCTTGTACGTCTGGATGTACTGCTAGGAGAGCAAGGGTGAAATTTAGCGTAAGACGCACGGTATCATGGCCTGCAAAATTAATGACGAAGCTGTTTCCAAGGATCTCGTCAACAGAAAGGCCACTGTTCTTGGCCTTGGCAGATACCGGGGCTGCACTATTTTTGGTTTCCTCGCGAGTATCTGGCTTTAGGGCACGGACGAGGGGTGTCAATAAGCCATTTTGCTTGGAGCCATCACTGCCAAGAGCAGCTGTCTCCTCTCGGAGAACCTTCAGCAGGATAGACCTAAATGACTCGGCTGCGCGTCCAACTCTAGCGAGATGCCTGGGAATAATAGTCCCTCTGAGACGGTGATAGGGAGTTAACATCAACAAGATAGAGTTGTCGAGAACAGTTCGCAAGGTATCCTGGTAGCCCCCCGCGATTTTCTCCGAGTCTTTCGGTCTGGTATTGGTTTGTGACTGGGGACGCTCATGGAAGGCTGTCGCACCGAGCACATTGAATGTGAGTGCTCGCAAGTCATTTTCGAGACTCGGGATATTGCCACGAAATTGAGTGGTCCAAGCGTGAAGCATCGATCTATCTCCGGCCTGAGTTAACCTCAGCTTGCAACCAGCCACCTCAGCAAATCCACTTACCGCGCGTGACACAACGTCTCCCTCCACACCAAAGACATCAAGTCGTCGTTGAACGGGGCCAGTCATCCAACCCTACGGTAAAGATAGATGGCCCGTAGATAGCCAGCATGCCTAGTGCAGCAGTCCATTGTTAGCGCCATCGGGCCGACGTCCGTCGATGTCGGCGTGGATGTCCGCCTCTTGCCAGAGATACATCGAGACAAGCTAGGCCAGGGGTTGGGGGCCAAGGGATGGAAGAAGGCTTTGTACGGTATTTTTGGACTGCACGCACAAAGTCACGCCATCTTGCAAAAATCTCGCTAATCATGTCTGGGTCGGCAATGTGCAGGCTAATTTCTTCTGGTGACACGAGCGCTTAGACTGGCCTTAGAGTTGCGGTAGGCGGCTCTTCTCCAGAAAGTGCCAAGTGCGGTGCGAATATCGTACAAAGTCGGGGTATGAGCTCCACGGCACGGGCAGGAAGTTGAGAAGGTTCCATACGAACGGTTGTAGAATGACCCAGGTGTAGCTGTTGACGCCGAACGGGATCCTAACAATAGGGACGTCCAGAGCGCGAGCCCTGTGCACGTTGGACTCGAGACGAATAAGAGTCCACGCCAGGTAGGTGAGAATCGACGAGAAGGGTATTGAAACAATCATTGGCGCAAATTTGAGAGGAAAGGTGATTAGCCAAGTACGTGGCGGCAATTGTTGCTTGTCTGGCTCGGCGCAGCCCGCAAATGTCGCATACTTTTATACCCGCAACTGGCTAACTTGAAAGAGAACTACGAACATTGGACGTACTTTGTAACCCATCTGTCCAATTCGTTCTGGATATTTGGCTGTACACTGCACGGAGTGAATATGTACTGCAACTACCCCGTACTTTGCCCCCTAGCCCTCACTCACCGTGTTACGGAGTGGGCAAGCTTGAATCCACCAGGGACCATGCGAGTAAAAACACGTCGAGGGTCGTACTTGCGTTGCGTCTCGAGCAGCTTGTCCACACTGGCCGGCCCGTAGCTGGCGATGGGGTTCTGCCATTGTGCCGCATAGTCGATGTAGATGAAGGGGTCCAGCTTGCCCATCCGGCCCACATTGTGCTCAGTGGTTGCAATCAGCTTCTTCATCGCCATGTTGACGGCTTCGTCGTCTGCAGCATTGGACCAGGTCGCGGTCGCCATGACGATGATCAGGGACTTGTCGCCACGGTTGGCCAGCCCGAGGGCATTGGCCACAGCGTGCCGCGCGTGGAGTGTTGGAGGGATGGGATCCATTGTGACTGCCCACACGAGCCCCGGGATTAGGCGTACTGATGGCACGAGGGCATTCCATGCCCTCACAGTCGCATTGATGGCCTCGACACAAGACTGAATGGTGACGGTGGCCGTTGCCTGCCTAGATCCGCTCCCCCATCCCATCAGCAGTCAGTCTCGCAGCGGTTGGTGGGAAAGTGGGAAAACAGGTGAGACGACAAGAGCGTGTGTGGACAGGGATCATCGAACTGGAGAGGAAGCATACCTGAAGCCCCTGATATCCCTCGATTCTGTCTCCGCCGCCAGATCTGACATGTTGGTTATTCGCTGCGAGTTGGACAGAGAGGGCAGCTCTGACAAGGCACGGTACACTGGTGGATTCACCACCGGCCTGGTGTACTCCATGTTGTTGACGATGACCTTGACATCCTGTTTCCCCGAATAGGCAAACGTGGTGAGCAAGGACGCATAGTCGTCGTAGGTTGCCGGGTTGCTGAAGTCGGACAAGGCAACCACCTGGTCGTCGATGGTGGAAAAGGGTCTGTCGACAAAGCCGCCCCAGAGCTGGCCCTGCTCAAACACGCGCAAGTCGACGCTGGTGACAATGCCAAAGTTGTTAGAGCCGCCGCGAAGCGCCCACAGGAGGTCCGAATGCTGGTGGTGGTTGGCGTTGACGATGAAGCCGTTGGCAAGCACCACCTCGAAATTGATGATGGTGTCGCACGTCCACCCCACGCGGGGCCCCAGGTACGAAATGCCCCCACCCACAGACAAACCGCCGACCCCCACGCTGGATGCGCGACCCCCACCCACTGTCAACCCTCGGGCGTCGAGCTGCGAGTATATCTCGCCCCAGGTTGTGCCAGCGCCAACAGACACAAAATCCCGACTGCTCATCGTGATGGTATTGAGGCCGCTGAGGTCGATGGTGACGCCGCCGTGGATGTTGGCCGCACCTGCGAAGCTGGCGTGTCCACCTGACCGTACCGTGAACTGACAGCCGTGGGTGGGCGGTTGAGATCATCACCGTCATGGTTATTTGTGGCCACTGTTGTGAGCACAATCACGGCTTTGGATACATCTCGCGCGGATTGGGGTGAGACGATGCAGTGTGGACGGACGGCTGACTCTTGCTGTGAGAAATATGACCCCAGCGATGCTGTGTAGGCTGCGCTTCATGGGAACGATACTTTGTTCCCGAGTACCTTGGACAAGGCAAGACACTGCAGGCTTTGAGGGCGACCCCAAGCGTTAGACCCCGTGCCCGGCTTGCGGTGAGGAAGGTTTGACTTGGGAGACTCACGCAGATGACGGCGGTGCAGGTTGTATTGAACATGACAGGTTTAAGATGTCCTGGGTTGTAGTTGATAATATTGTGGCTGCAAACTCTGTATTGTACAATTCACTGGTTTTTCGCATCACACCTCCAGTGATGTCTCTCGGCAAAGTATTTATATGTGGTAAGCAAAAAGGGAGCCGAAATATTTATAAATTGTGGACAGGTATTGCTGGCCGCTTCAATTTCCGTGCTGCTGCTGGTACTCACCGGTCCTCAAAAGCAATACCAAACACCAGGAGTGTACGGGGTGCAAGACTTCTGACATGAATTGAGATATGTAGTACGGAGTATTCTACGCGACAGTGTAGTCTTACGTACATATGACCCTTGACCAGATGTCAATGCTTCGTGTCATGGAATCTTACAACGCACGATGCCACCTCCATATCTGTTGTGGTCATCCTGCCTGCAGCCAAACATGAGATACTGCCCGCTTGCTTTCGTCACCATTCAAATATACAACTCATTAGAGCATACTGCATTGAGCAGCTTCTTGTATGAGATTGTAAAGGGGCGGATAAATACGCACAGTGCCCCGTGTCTATAAGCTTGCCATGCTTAATTGAACGGGCTTCAGTCATATCCATCCTACTAGACATGATATCCAAGGTTGAAAAGAGGAAGGTAATCCGTCATTACGTAGAACTAGTTGCATAGATTCGGCGGTATAAAGGGTCAAGGGTGGCCCAATATCGTGCAATAAATGCAACGACCTACGACAACATTTGTGCGTCCCTGCAGGAGGGCTCTTCGCGACGCTGGCCGAGTCTCCGCCATTTATAAAAATTATTCTTGATACACGCCATGTTCTCATATTTTCTACCAAATCAATCTATCAGCGCTATTCTCGTGAATCATGTCCCTGTCGGCCAACTCCACGCTCTACTTGGGCGACGAGTCTGCCAGCGACTCTGCCGGTTCCTGCACGCCGCCTACCACGCTGTCTGCCTGCCCAACGTAGTCTCGACCGCGATACTTTCCGCAGCATTTGTGCTCTCTGCACTGGTGCCATGGCGATTATGGCGGTTCACCGTGTTGCCTTGGCTATATCCAGACCCCCCCCAAAGAGTTCCCATACTCGATACCAGGTGAGCGTCCAACAAGGAAGTCAACTTGGAAAAGGGACAGAAGCACTAACCGCGTCACTCAATTAGTCTTGGATCAGCAGCCCTGAGGATTCGTAAATTCTATCCGTCCCGTCGACGTGATCTAACTCTCTCCGTCCAGGTCATGCCCGTGCATTTTTCCAGGACTCAAACGGCCTACTCGTCAGAGCCAGGTATGATGAGCGCGCTCAACGCAAACAGTCATTGCAAGCAGAAAAAGCTTATCAATAGCCCCAAAGGTCATACTTTGGTACCTCCCGGGAGCCGTCCGCTCTGGTGGTGTTTGGAAAGACTTTCTACGTCGTCACACCAAGTCAAGCAGTCGGACGAAGTGTACCGAAACACCGAGGCGGTTTCCTTTGACGACTTTGTGCAGGGCCTCATGAGAAACAATGGCAACGACGAAGAGGCCACCAAGGCTGTGTTCACGGCCCTGCCCGTCGATAAAGCCGGCTTCCCCAACCCACGGGGCGAGTCCATCGGTCGCCTGGCCTCTGTTATGCACGCGCATCAACTACACCCTGGCGCAAATCTGGCTGTTTTGCAGGAAAAGGTACAGAAATGGCTGAATTTCCATGTGCACCCCAAAGAAATCTGCGCGAAGCCCACGGCCACTTCTTCAGGCCGCAAGAGTGTCGAAGTGCCGCTCTATCAGTGGTGTTCGAAATACTTTATCCAGCTCGGCCAGGACATCTACTTTGGAGAGATGCTGGCGAGGATCGATCCCACACTTCCATCCGCATTTTTTCTCTTTGACGAGCTCATCTGGAAGATGCTCTACCAATACCCGGGCTTTCTGTCCTCGGACATGTCCGTTCCTAGGGCTCGGGTCATCGCCTCGCTCGATAAATACCTGCAGGTGCCGCAGAAGGAGAGAGCCGGGGATGCGGCTTGGCTAGTCAATGCCATGGAAGATGAGATGAGGGCCGTAGGCGTCCAAGGAGAAAACCTCGCCATTGTCATATTCGACCTGTATCTCGCGTACGCCCGCCCCCCTTTTAAGCTTGATGATGACACTGGGACAAGAGCCAGAAACTGACTACAGGCCTCTCGCAGCATCAACACAAACACCCGCAAAACAGCCTTCTGGGTCCTGACATATCTCCTCCACAACCCCGAGCTG